ATATTTATTAAATAGTAGTCTAGGGCTTTTTGGAGTCTGGATGTCTTCTTACAATACTGGAAACTCCAAAGTACATGCATGTTGCTGTATGGCAACATCTATATTAGGTTAGAACAAAACCACCTTTCTCCATGTCTCAGATACAGTAAACTGAAAAGGGAAAGGAAGAAAAATTCTGGGCAAATTTTTGACTGAACATAAGTGAAAAGTTCTTTCGGGTAACAAAAGTTAGTTTCCTTACTGCAGGAAGCACAGCTAGTCTACACCTGCGTTGCAGCCTCTACATTAACTGCTGGTGGATTAGAGATCTGCGTGCTAGCTGGCAGCAGCCTAATTGCCATAACAAAAAGCTGCTGAGCCAGATTTCTTCCCTTAAGAAATGGACACGCTGCACTACTTAGGAAAGTTTAAAAATACATTTTCCTGGGCTTTGTGGCTGACTTTGGGTATAGGAAACATTCTAGCAATGCTCGGTAAGTACTGCTTGCCTTTCTCTTATTCCTATCCTCAGCATCCTACAAATATGGCCTATATTTTATTCCTGTTCTACAGGTTCAGAGCCATCTCACTGCCAGCTAAAAACACAGGCTTTGTTTACACTGGTAGTTAAAACATCCATCAGTTTAGCTTTTCAGGTGAATATTAATCTGGTCAATTGTCCACCATGTATATGGTCACAAAGAGCAGAACCCTGCTAGTCCTTCGTGCAAATAAGATTATGTACATACAAGACCCATTGTTAGTATTATCACTTGAGGCATATTGTTCATTCACATAAGGCTATTTCAGTGTGTTTCTGGTGTGTCATACATTTTTATAGACATGGCTGCTGATTTTAAGATTTTGTTAGCTGGCTTAAAAACTAAACCTAAAATAGCTACCATGTCTGTGTAGATGTTTTTGGAAGAAATACAGTTTTTTTTACGGTACATTATTTGGTATTCGGCTGATGGAAACTGAGCCTGGTCACTTTGTGTTTTCAGCTGGCTGAACGCAAATCTTTGAAGAAGCAGAAGCTACATAACGATATTTAAGATGACATTATGCTTGAGGTGGCAATCCCTGCTCAAGCACAACATACTATCTGGAAAGCTCGTAAGGTTTATTAACCTGACCACAGTACCATGTAAAATGTGACGCTGTGTTTGCTCTGAGCATATCCAGATATGAGACACCCTGGTAGCTACATTTTGAAATACAATTGTGAATGCAAAATACTCAGCTGGGAGGAAGGCATGAACAAGCAAACTACTGTTCAAGTTGTCTTCTCAGCTGCTACATTCAAATGACTACAGCAAGCAAGGAGCAGGATGAAGCTGCAGAGCCTGAACCTGCACCCTCCTGGAGCACAATCAAATGCCACAGTGACCACCATCAATATTAAAAGAGCTTTTATAGATTTATAAGCTTTTTTTTTTTCAGAACAGAAAGTAGAACATACTTCTAAATAAAGTATGATGTATAAGAAAATACACTTTTTGAAAGTATAGTTTTTTTCTTCATAAATCTGAGAAAACTCAAAACAGAAAGGGAAGACAGAGGAGCTCTTGAGGATCTTCCCAGTCCTGAGTGTTGTAGCCTCCACATCCAGTCTTGGTTTGAAACTAATAACTTGGTGACTTTCTGAGTGCACACAATATCCTCTCTCATACCTTAGGAAAGGCTGACTTACTTTCTCCTCTTTTGACTGTGATTTTGACATTGCTTTGCTCAGGGGTCATCCACTCATGTTTGCAGAGCTGTTTCCTTCACGGCTCTTCCATTTTCCCTTTTGTGTGTTGTGTCCTTCAATTGGGAATCCTCCTTCTGACCATGTCCAGGAGTTACCGGGGAAGGTGGCATTTTCAGGAGGCAGAGGACTCAGCATGCTGCAGCTATGTATGGCTGACATGCCATACACTTTTGAAAGAAATTAATAGACAAACTTCACACTCTCCATATCCCCTAAGAATCCCCAACTCAAAATAATGAGCCTTTAAAAGTACAACTTTAAAAAAAAAAAAAAAAAAGATATAGAAATACACCAAAGCTTAATGGAGCTGACCAAATGTGCCATTACAGTACACAGTAATACATCTAACAGTTTTCTTCTCAGCTGCAGCACAGAACAAATGGAGTGAAAAGGCAGACAGTAAAAGCAAAAGATAACTCCTTTCCAAGCTTCCTCACGTTCCTCCTTTGCCCCCATACCTATGCACTCTAAAGCAGCATTTCCAGTGCTCATGACAGGTTTGCAGGTCTTTAAGCTCACATGTCTGTGGGTCCCAAGCAAGATACCAAGACCCTGGTGCAAAGGACATTGAGATATGTGTCACATTCAGCATTTCAGTGGTACCTACTCAGCATTTTGACACATCAGTAACCCAATGAGTGCTCTGTTCATGCAGTCTGTGAGCAAGTCCTGGGTCATACCACTGGGGCAGGTCAACTACACCAAGTGCTACAGCTCTGAGCCTCAGCCCAAGGCAAACACACAAATAAAACCTTCAATCCTGTCAGGAACCAGCTCAGCTTTACCAGGTTCAGACATGGTCTTAGGACCTAAAAACAATCGTGCATGGACAGAAGAGAGTTCATCTGTTTAACAGAAAAGTTTGTGAAAAGCTTCTTGGCAAATTGTAGGATTGGAGAATGTGCCCAAGAAGACATTGATGTTCTGCTTCACACATCCAGGTGCATTTTTTCTGCCCGTATTCTGATCAAAGCAAAGCCATCTAGGACTGAAAGCCCTATCCCTGTATCAGTGCAGAACTGGGCTTCAGACCTGGGCTGATCACTGATGGTGTAAACAGGCCCTGACTGGCAGGACTAAATGCTGCAAATGCATCACTGAGCAGGTATTCACACACAAATATCTGACTGGCTTCTGGTCCTGGTCTGCCAGGGGTTCAGCTGGCCCCTGGCACCAACTAAGCACAAACACCATTGCCTGCTCTCTGTCAGTCACACCCAAAGAGAATTTGGCTTGTTTAATCTAGAATAACAAAAGCCAAGACAACATTTGTCTTCTAAAGATATCAACTATGTAAACACTGGGGACAAACATCTGCTTAAGTTTAAAATTAACTTTTGATTGGAGACAGGCATAGACTAAGTTCAGGTAAACTTGGATATGCGCATGTGAAACCAGCTTTTTGGTGGGAATTGCAGGCAGCAGTGGAGGGGAAAGAGAGAGGGCAAGAGGAGGACAAAGCTGCGTTAAAGCTGTTTATTTATGGATGGTAGTTAGGAGTGAATCAAGGGCTGTGGAGTTAAAAAAAAACCTAACCCAGACCAACCAAGAACAAAGTGGCAGCCTTCCCTATTGCCCACTGCCAGCCAGCTGCTCTTACCAGTGCTTTGTCTGGAAGTGATATCAAAAGTGCAGATTGAGAATAACGAGCTGACTGCAATCTATCATTTTGGGCTGCTGTTTTTCAGATTAAATACTCTCTTAACTGACAAGACAACTAGATCATCCTCATTGTTTTGGAGAATCTGTGGAAGCTTGGAAGTTAGTGAGAGCACTAGATGTGGGCACATGGATCTTTTGGCACATGGACCAGACACTGTACTTTTGAAGTAGACTTAAGATCGGTAACAACATTACTGGACCAGCACAGCTACAAACCTGTCAAGAACCTGAGAAAAGTGCGAGAGATGCTTCCCATTTTAGACTGAAAACAGTGACCTGTAAGAGTGCAGGTGGGATATGTCCTAAACAACAACAGCTAGAAAGATGGTGCAAATATACCAACAAATTTGAATACTTTTTTTTTTTTTTTTTTTGCCTTTGGCCAGATGATTTGACAGTTTGTAGTATATCTGTGAATGATCAATTGCTTGGAAAGGTGTTGCTGACCTCTTACTAGTCCCTCCAAAAGGAAAGAGGGAGTAACTTCTATAGATGCTAAAGGCTTCCAATGCACCCCAATAATCCACTTTCAGCAGGGATAGAGATCCTTAGTGAAATAAACTGTATTTGGCCTTTCTGCACTAGGAAGATGAACATGCTGTCAGTCCTGCTGACTTCTGTAGTTAACCCAGTGCTTACTAGATGATAGCGGGGTATTTTCCTGAGATATGTTATCATTATGTATGTGTTTGATAGTAAATATTACCCTTGACCGGTTAAAGTGCTCCTGATTCTCTATATAGATCTATCCTGATATTAAACCACCAGGTACTGAAGGTGTTGTGCTTAGACAGAGTGGTATGGAACTCAAATATCTATAAAGAACCCTGATAAATCACAGGCTTTGCAGATAAACCTCTGCCAAATTCTATTCAAATGGCAAAGAGATAATGTGAATATGACTCTAATGAAGGAAGGCTAGAGTTGCCATAATGCATGCAGGTGCAATTGCTCCAAATCTCTCTTAAAATCCATTTTCCTGCCAGTACTCATTCTTCCTTTAAACAGAAGTTAATACTCTGCTGACATTACTGAACTCCATCAGGCTCATTATCTGAGGCTAGCATTTAGATCAGGGTTTTGGAGGTGAAAGACCAATTCATTAACTCTATTGTGTCACTCAATGACTTCCTGTAGAGAGATCATAAGTCAGATGGTGGGTGTCACTGCTGGAAGATAAAAGACAGCTATAAAGTAGGAAGACAACTGTTATAATTCGCAAAAAAAAAAAAAGGGAAAAAATTACCCCATAGCCTTTAATTTCTATTCAGAGTTCAGGTTTTAAGTATGTTATTTAGATAAAAGTGCATTTGATGGATTTTTTTTTTTTTTAAATGAGTTTCAAATACAGAATGGAAGAGGTTATTGGCTGGTTATTTCTTTTTGACCTAAAGAGAAGAAATAATATAGGCAACAAATAACACAACAATTTCTGTAAAAATGAATTAAAAATGAGTGGTTTAAAACCAGATGTTTTGAAATGACCATATATACTAACTTGTCTTGGCTCACAGGGAAGAAAAAGAGTGTTTGGAATATTGTTACTTTGTCAAAACGATAATGTTATGAAACTATTTGAATTTTTGTTAAAGAAAAAAACAGCTGCCAGGGATCAAAATCCATTTATTTGATACAAACAAAAACAAATCCCCACTTCATTTCCTCAAAGTACAGAAAATGCTTATTTTTAGAATGCTCTTTGGATGAAAGAATTTTTAAGGCTTTTTTATGGAAAGTAGGTTCCTACTGCTACTGGTTATCGATTGAACATCAAGCTTCTCAGTGTGCACATGAAAAATGCTTTTCATGCTTCTACTTGAGGTTTCCTAAGAAAAATTTCAAGTACAAGTCTTTTCAAGTGTAATTAGCAACTACTTAACATGAAGAAGCAGTGTCAAATAAGGAAAGCTTTTGCCAGAGAGCTTTGCAGCTTCTGTTCGTGTTCCGTCTATCTGTTGCACAACAAAACCATGGAAGATAGAGTGACTTTTTTCTCCCATTGCAGGGGTGAACCTTTAACAATATAAGTATTTGCAAGGCTTCTCCAGCTTCAAAGCACAGAGAACAAGAGACCATTTTTTAAAAGAGGTTGGGCAGCAGCTTTACAGAAAGCCCTGGGCTCCCTTGGAGCAGTCACCTGAAGTGCAGGCCCTCGTAACTGATTGTTATTGGGAGGTGCTTGTTGGGGCTCTCATTTGCTGAAGAAAGAGAAAAGAATCCTTGTAGAACAATGTTGAGATAAAAACAACTAAACATATATGTTTTAGTACTTTAGTATTCTTCTTCCTTTCCAGGTCTCAAGCTGTCAAAAAAACCCCCATGACTTGGGAAGGCCACGCTGGATGTGGCTTTGAGCAACCTGGCCTAGTGGAAGGTGTTCCTCCCTGCCTGTGGAACTAGATGATCTTTAAGGTCCTTTCCAACCCAAACCATTCTATGAGTCTATAAGCTTAAGATCTTGCTCTGTTTCAGATCTATTCAAACCCTCTTATAGAATCATAGAATCATAGAACAGTTAGGGTTGGAAAGGACCTTATTATCCCAATAGCCCTGTAAAACAATGTTGGTTGGTTGTTTTTTTTTCCTCCATTGATTCCTTCATAGAATCATAGAATCATAGAATAATTAGGGTTGGAATGGACCTTAAGATCATCTACTTCCAACCCCCCTGCCGTGGGCAGGGACACCTTACGCTAAATCATATCACCCAAGGCCTCGTCCAACCTGGTCTTGAACACTGCCAGGGATGGAGCATTCACAACCTCCCTGGGCAACCTATTCCAGTGCCTCACCACCCTAACAGGAAAGAATTTCATTCTTATATCCAATCTAAACTTCCTCTGTTTAAGTTTTAACCCGTTACCCCTTGTCCTATCACTACAGTCTCTAACGAAGAGTCCCTCCCCAGCATCCCTATAGTCCTCCTTCAGATACTGGAAGGCTGCTATGAGGTCTCCACGCAGCCTTCTCTTCTCCAGGCTGAACAGCCCCAACTTCCTCAGCCTGTCTTCATATGGGAGGTGCTCCAGTCCCCTGATCATCCTCGTGGCCCTTCTCTGGACTTGTTCCAACAGTTTCATGTCCTTTTTATGTTGAGGACACCAGAACTGCACACAATACTCCAGGTGAGGTCTCACAAGAGCAGAGTAGAGGGGCAGGATCACCTCCTTCGACCTGCTGAGCACGCTCCTTTTGATGCAGCCCAGGATACGGTTGGCTTTCTGGGCTGCGAGCGCACACTGCCTGCCCATGTTCATTTTCTCATCAACCAACACCCCCAAGTCCTTCTCCGCAGGGCTGCTCTGAATCTCTTCTCTGCCCACCCTGTAGCTGTGTCTGGGATTGCTCTCACCCAGGTGTAGGACCTTGCACTTGGCATGCTTAAACATCATGAGGTTGGCATCAGCCCACCTCACAAGCGTATCAAGGTCCCTCTGGATGGCATTCCTTCCCTCCAGCATATCAACCGAACCACACAGCTTGGTGTCATCGGCAAACTTGCTGAGGGCACACTCAATCCCACTGTCCATGTCAGCGATGAAGATGTTAAACAAGACCGGTCCCAACACCAATCCCTGCGGGACGCCTCTCGTTACTGGTCTCAAGCTGGACATTGAGCCGCTGACCACAATTCTGCGTGCGGCCATCCAGCCAGTTCTTTATCCACCGAGTGGTCCATCCATCAAATTGATGTCTCTCCAATTTAAGAGACAAGGATGTCATGTGGGACAGTGTTGAACACTTTGCACAAGTCCAGGTAGATGACATCAACTGCTCTACCCCTGTCCATCAGTTCTGTAGCCCCATCATAGAAGGCCACCAAATTGGTCAGGCAGGATTTCCCCTTAGTGAAGCCATGCTGGCTGTCACCAAGCACCTTGTTGAATTTCATGTGCCTTAGCATGCCATCCAGGAGAATCTGCTCCAAGATTTTGCCAGGCACAGAGGTGAGACTGACTGCTCTGTAGTTCCCTGGGTCATCCATTTTCCCCTTCTTGAAAATGGGGGTTATATTTCCCTTTTTCCAGTCATCAGGAACTTCACCTGACTGCCATGATTTCTCAAATATGATGGCCAGCGGCTTCGCAACTTCATTTGCCAGATCCTTCAGGACCCACGGGTGGATCTCATCAGGACCCATGGACCTGTGCACGTTCAGATTTTTAAGATGGTCTCGAACCAGTTCCTCTCCTACAGTGTTCCAGTTTCTCCCCTTCATTCTCACAGTCCCTGCATCTGCCTTCCAAGACTTGGGTGGTGCAGTCAGAGCCTTTGCCAGTGAAGACCGAGGCAAAGAAGTCATCCAGAACCTCAGCCTTCTCCAAATCCTGTGTAGCCAGTTCTCCCGAGAGCTTCCTGAGGGGGCCTACATTCTCCCTAGTCTGTTTTTTATTTGCTACGTACTTGTAGAATCCCTTCCTGTTATCTTTAATACCTCTAGCCAAGTTTAATTCTAACTGGGCCTTAGCTTTCCTAACCTGGTCCCTAGCTTCCTGGACAACATCCCTATACTCTTCCCATGCCACCTGTCCTTGCTTCCACTTATTATAAGCCTCTTTTTCCATTTGAATTTTCCTCAGCAGCTCCTTATCCATCCAGGGAGGTCTCCTGGCCCTCCTGCTGCACTTCCTTCTCGTTGGGATGCAACGCTCCTGAGCTTGTAGCAGGTGATCCTTGAATATCAACCAACAGTCTTGGGATCCCCTGCCCTCTAGGGCTGTATCCCATGGAACCTTACTAAGCAGGTTCCTGAAGAGGCCAAAGTCTGTTCTCTTGAAGTCCAGGGCAGTGAGCTTGCTGCACGCTCTTCTCACTGTCCTGAGGATCTCAAATTCCAGCATCTCATGATCGCTGCATTCAAGGCTGCCCTGGAGAGTCACATTTCCAACGAGCCCTTCCCTGTTGGTGAGCACGAGGTCAAGCATGGCACCTCTCCTTGTTGGCTCCTCTATTACTTGCAGGAGGAAGTTGTTGTCCACACAATCGAGGAACCTCCTGGATTGCTTGTGCTGGGCCGTACCGTCCTTCCAAGATGTCAGGGTGGTTGAAGTCCCCCATGAGAACAAGGGCCTGCGAGCGTGAGGCTTTTCCTATCTGTCTATGGAGTGCTTCATCTGCAGGTTCTCCTTGACCAGGCGGTCTGTAACAGATCCCCACAGTAATGTCTCCCATAGCTATATTCCCTTTAACCCTGACCCACAAACTCTCTGTGGACTGCTCACCTGTCCCCAGACAGAGTTCCATGCTCTCCAGCCTATCCCTAACATAAAGGGCAACTCCCCCTCCCCGCCTGCCAGGCCTGTCTTTTCTAAAGAGCATGTAACTTTCCATTCCAACACTTCAGTCATAGGAGCCATCCCACCATGTTTCTGTGATGCCTATTATATCATACCCCCGTAGACATGCGCCCATCTCTAATTCCTCTTGTTTGTTCCCCATACTATGGGTGTTTGTATAGAGGCATCTGAGCTGAGCTCCAACTGAAGCCGGCTCATTGGCTGGAGTGGCTGGGACATCTCTACATTGCTCCGAGCATTTATTATAGGTGCTGGCAACTGACTGGGTGTGCTGGAATAGAATGATGCCCCCTCCCCCAACACATCTAGTTTAAACGATAAAAAGGAGTGCAGTTCCCAAGATACACATGAAAGAAGAAATAAGTTTTCCTTTCATCTAGCTGTTTTGAAACACTACCTTACCTTCTTAATCCTGCTCCCACTTCAGCAAACTCCTTTTAGTGCTAAACTATTCTTACCTTAAGTGAGAATCCCCTTCTCGGCTCCTTTAAAGATGAAAGACAGAACCAAAAGGGATCACAGAAAAAAAGGAAATGCTATGGTTGTGTCAATCTCTCTATTATTCATGCAGTTACTTATTGACAAATTTTGTTCCTCTTATTATGTTATCTATCAGCATCCTCTGCTCTATTTTTCATCTGGATTGAGGCACTCTCCACAAAAAACTTCACTACTTTTCATCCATTTTATTCCTTCTGTCCCCCCCTCCTCACACCCTGCAACTGTAGGCTGTGCTCACTTGCAATATTTTCTGCTGTTAACAGAGTGGTTGATTTTTTTTTCCATCGAAGAGCAGCTCTGTAATTGGAGACCTAAGAGTCACTTAATATAAAGATCACTGAGAATCACAAACCATTTTCTTCTTGACCTTTTCTACCAAAACATTAGCTTCTGAGTCAGCCTGCTTTGAAGCTACAGAAGCACTACATATTGTCTTGCTGATTTCTGACTCGAGGCAGTACTTTTCTTCCATTTCCTCCTTTTTTTAGCATCTGAAGGCTGAAATTTTATAATATGCTATTGCTTTTTTTCTTTTTTTTTCTTCTTTTCCAGGAACAAGTGTCAGCACATCAAGAGCTCACTGTCTTTAGTGTGTGTCACTTGAGATCACTAGGGAAAAGAATACTTCATATGTCTCCTTATTGAATCATAAACCATGGGTGATACTATGAATATTTTTCACAAAAGTTCTGGGATCAGTCATTTGAGCATCACTTCACTGATAAGCTAAATCCATAAAAACTCTGAACGCTGAAGATGGGAGCTAAAAATAAATATTATCCCAGAAACAAAGGGCTATGCAATCAAAACATTGCTCTTGTATGTAAATTTTATGTTTTGTTGCATAGTTTATGCTTTTTTCCTATCAATTATATACCATTTGTAATAAAAATAACTGCACAGTCATATACACATATACTTGAGTTGCTCACCTCTTCTCTGTTTAGATGTCAGTCTTAAATCTTCCACACATGAAATGTCTTCTGCAGCAATTTAATTCTCTCAGACAACTGTATCATAGTTGCTTTTAAGGAAAACAGATTTAACTTCTGGGAAAATGGTTCATACCATCTTCCTGGTCTTTGGTTAGCAGGGAGAGGGGTATGTGAAATCACCACAGATACATTTGGCAGTTAGAGACAAAAGCCACTGTATCTCTCCTACCGCCACACAAATTCACCTTCAGCAGATGCAGAAAGCTATCTCATGATCATATAGCTATGGCTGTGGACAGGGTCCTTCTCCTCATAGCTACAACTTTTATACAGCCTGCAAAATTAAATAGAAGAACTTTGATATTTCCATGATAATCGATAATTCCCTGTACTGCCACCCAGCTAGAGGTGTTCACTGTGATGTTCAGAAGCACTCACTGAATTTAATGAACATCTGGGAGGGGTACAGTAAGCAGAAAGACTTCAGCATATCTGTCTGGAAAAGCTAGTGCAGATTTTCCATAACTTTTTTCAGTTTTCCATTCATCAAGTTTGTGTTTAATGTGATAAAGAAATTGAATACATTAAACATTTACAACAGGGCTGCTAAATTGCCACCTAGTGGTCTTGTAATGAAGTTAATGTCTCCAGCACCCTGATCTGGGCGAACAAAATACCGGTGTGCTTTTTGTACTTTTGTCAGGACCTCCATAATGGTGCTCAGTGACAGCTTGCCCGTGATGTGGCCACAGTGGAGGGGCAGGAGAGCACAGCTTCCAAGCAAAAGAGGACTGTTGGGACTGCTGGGGTGCTGGGGGCAGCTTGTGCAGGACTTAGGACACCAAAGGGGAATTCTAGGCCAACCAACCAGCCTGTGCGCAGGGTGAAAAATGCTACCAGGTCTATCCTCTGTACTACTTGTATAATTTTCCTTTTTAACAACCCCTTCCCCTCCCCCCCAAAAAAAAAAAGTAAACATTTGATATGAAAGGAAATAAAAGATTTTCTGACTGTTGGTAATGAGTAAAAAGTTAGGGGTTTTGTCCTTTCAAGGCTCAACCAGCTCCAGTGTAGGAAGCACTTTGCTTTCTCCCACCTTCTAGTCTCACCCCGCCTGAGCCATATGTTCATCAGCATGTGCTGTTTACACAGAGCCAAGCAGATGGGAAACAATGAAGAAACACAAGTAGAACAATAAGTTTTGCAGTTCTGCTTTTGCGGTTAGTCACGTAGGTCTGCCCAGAAGCTACTATAAGACACTAAAAATAATTTTCAGTGTGATGAGCTGCACAAGCAAAGTCTTCAGGGATTTACGTGCCCTGAATCATTTCACCAATAATCAGCTTGGTGTGCACCGGATTGTCTGTTGGCAAACGTGATGCTCGCAAGAGGTGGAAACAGCAGAGGTCTTGTGTTAGGAAGCAGTCCTGGAGCGGGGGCTGCAAGCTAAATCTCTGGGAGGATGCATCAGCTGTGTCAGAGATAAGTCAGCAATAAGTCAGTCCACAACAGCAGAATCCAAATGATTCATCTTCCTCCTTCATCCTGTCACCTGCTGAGACAGAGTGCACTTAGCAGCTAAAGAAGAAACATCAGCCCTGGGAGACAGACTGAGTACCTGCATTGTACCTTCAGAGAGGTTCTGGATAGTTTAAAGTGTCACACGAGTATGGCATTGGTCTAAAAATGCTGCATAATCTGAGAGCTTAACCCTGGCCAAAACACATCCCCTTGCTGGGTCCTACATCAAGGTATTGGCACTTCTTAACTCTCCCTACCTCTCATAACGAACTGAAGGCCCTGTAGGTGAGGGTCATCACTCCCACAGAATACAAAGTGAGACAGGTCAGGAAAACTAGATAAGGAAGAGAAAAATAGGGCAGGATGAGGGACAGGACTTGCACAGTAATAAAAATATTAAATTGGTAACAGTCTTCCTACATTTGTGACTAGGTTTTGTGACTAAAGTACAACTCACCATATATAGTACCATATATGGTTCTCTTTTTTAATTTCCTATCACTTTTGGCCTTTTTGAGCTTAATCTATTTTAAAATACAGTCTGACTTTTATTTGTGGACATTTTCCCCCTCTTTTTTTGTTTTGTATGTCACATATAGCTTTTTTTGTTTCACACTCTCCTTCGTTCTTTTTCAGGATTGATTTGGTTAAATTTGCACCTTATTTCTCTTGATTTGCAACTGTTTTGTTTAAAACAAGTATTTATTCTTTCACTGCTGTCTGGCTCCATTAACTTTAACATATTTCAATGAAGTTCTCTGTACAGTGAATAGTTATCTCTAAACTGACTTAATATTTCTTTTTGTAAGACCACAGCTTCCTTTTTTTTGGCTATTCTGGAAGTACAGCAGTAGAGGAAGTTGTAAACGTACTCCACAACAAACATATCACTAGTACAAAGCACCTAGCATAACAAAAAGGCATGCAACTGAAAATCAGTTTACTCCTTAATGTACTCTAGGTGATTTGATCTTTAAGGAGTACACAGTAAAAGGTGAAAGGTAATCAGTACAATACCGTCTGAGAAACTACAGGGTTAACCGCATACCTGTTTTCAATGAAATTATCAAGGGGCGGAATGCCCTACGAATGCAACCAGCTTTCAAACAATAAATAACCTGTTCCAAAACCCAGAAGCTGGTAAGCCACAAAATAGAATCTAGATAGCAATTAATCATTTGAAGTGTGATGTGTGCCATGAGTTTCTGTTTCCCCTAGCCTTTCCTGAGCTGGTCTTTTCAGGGTTGATTAGGATTGGCTGTTACTAAGGGATTTACCATAGAGTCAATCTGTCACTGTTCTGCTGTCCTAGTATCCTGATTTTTCAGATCTTGTTCAGACTGCCATGTCAAATGGCATTCACATGACTCTGGAAGAAACGCCTTTAATCTCTTATGCCTAGGACAGACAACATTAAAAACCTTCAGACACATCTCTCAACAACTTCTGCTGCCCTTTTCAGGTAGGAAGTTCTAGATCCTCCTGTCTTCTTCCCCACAAATAGCCAGAGTTAGTGCCTTGAGAACAGTGTATGGATCATTCATTACATTTTTTACTTGATGCTTATACACAGATTTACAAAAACACCAAATGCTTTCAGTAGGAAGAAAGCATGCTCCAGGGTTACTGTGCTAGCCTTGAACAAGAGACAAAACTATTAAATTGCCAAGTGTAGAGAATATGTGGCAGCTTGAGGGTGGTGAGAACCTATTTACAGTGGCTCCATTGGCTCTAAGATGGCGTACTGTCTCTGTCTTGTCTTCATCTTATATGGTTACGCAATTTTTCCTCAGTTCAGAGAAATCAGAAAGAACTGCTTCCCCCTAAAAAAAAAAACAAACTAGTTGTCTTACCTGAAGATGAGCTGTGTGGGGCAAGCTACCTACAGTAACTGCTTTAGCAGGGATGCTGGACTAGATGACTTCCTGAGGTCCCTTCCAGCATCAACCATCCTCTGATTCTGTAACTTGTCTGGCAAAGAGCTGCTCTGAATTTTAAAAATTGAGATACATTCAGGCACTTAAAAATGGCCCATAGCTTTCTTGGCCAACTAGCACATCTCAGGTTAACTGCCGAAACAGGGCTTTCGCAGAGTTTCTTTGAAAGATATTAAAAACATGAGCAGGGAACTCACAGGACTCACAGTAACAGTCGTGATCTAAGTTAAGATTAATTTTTGAATGGATAGAGTGGGTTTCAGTTAAAGGGATTTAAAAGTTCAAGTAACTGGAATCTTATGGAGTTTTTTAATAATTTAAAAAAAAAAATGGTGCGTGAATGAGACAAGTTTGAACCTTTATATGCAAAAATTACTTTCATTTATTAATTTCATTTTTTGTCTGTCAACTCCAGTAATAAAAAAAGCTGAGGACACTGAAGACAAATCCCTCCTGCCTTTTTTTATATGGAGCTGGTATTTATAATGAGCCTCCAGTAAGCTCTGTCATGTTAAAATGAACTTTCTGAATTACTGTTGTCCACCTGATTTCACAATCAGCCCACTACAACCCACAACACTGCCACTAACAATCTAACCAAAGGCAAACATTTCTTTAATGTCTAGATCAGTTTATGCTGAATACTCTCAACACCTTTCAGCAGCAGTAGCACTTAAATACAGCTGGACTGGAAAAAAAGAGAACATCTGAATTTTCCAAAAGCCTCATGTATCTGCTATTCTTTCTCCCCTGCTGGAATCCTGTAAGTTATAAATGCTGTGGACTTTTTTCATTTTTCTGCTGTGCCTTGCAAATACTTTGTGTCTTGTCCTGGGTGTAAACATTAGCAAGATGGATCGTCATAGGAAAGTGATTTCTCTGTTAGAAAGCCAATAGACTTATAAGCCATATATAAATATTATGTATAAAAATTCGGTTCAAGAAAAAACATCAATTTGTCTACCAGGTACATATCTGTTGCACTTTTTGGTGTGGACAAATCATACAAACTATTGTGTTTTGGAACTTCACAGGAATAAAATGGTCAGAGACAGTACCTTTACTTGCAGCATGAAGTCCAATTCCAGTTACCACTTCAGATGTATTTTTCTTTACTTTTCCAGGACCACCTCTATTTACTGTTTTTCAAAGAAAGACAATACCAGGTAGATGGGACTGGAGCTGTGGAGGAGAGGTTGCCTATATTCATTCTTCACTTATCTTTTCAATCATCTTAATAAGGCTTAAAGAATAAGCAAAAAATTATTCTTCTCTGGCAGCAACAGAACTGTTCAGATGCTAGGGTCCAGGTTAAGATGAGCTTTGAAAAAAATATTAGAGATAGGCCACTGATGCATATTACCAGATTAAATCCTTTCTTTGTTATCTAGTCCTCTTTGTGCATTAATGATACAGAG